CCTCCATCCATATTTTCAGTTACAGGCTGAGTCATTTCTACCTTCTCCTCTCTGTCAACGCTCTCTGGTTTCATTTAAAAGAGTCGATCGTCAGATATTTCTAAGATTAACCTTCAGGGTGGATATAGCTCGCTAGCAGCCTCGCACCAATGACCTATCCACATCATTTACCCAGAATGCTTTGCATGTAAATAAAATGGCCCCATCCGTGTAATATATTTTTAAACTTTTAGTTTAAAAATTATAAAAATTTAAAAGCCTACAGTATTTTTACAGTCTTTATTTTACAGTTAAAAAACATGTTTATCAAATAAAGTCTAATGTTACACCTAATCAGGGATCCTTTTAACCTTATTTGTATTTTTAAAACAGTATTATGTTTTAATATTTTATTAAAAGACAATATTATAGAATATAATCTAGTATAGTTAGAATATCTTTGATCAAACTGCCAGTAGAGCAATACATGCAACTAGACTTGGAAATGAGTTCAAGAGACTTGAGACTTGACTTCGATTTTTGGTCAAAGAGTTGAGACTTGACTTGGACTTGGAGCCAAAGACTTGAGACTTGACTTGGACTTGCAAAAAACAGACTTGTGCACATCTCTGCTACACACTTACTAAATGTGTGTCTATGTGCCTTTTTGCTTTGTTACTGCACATATAAGGTATATTCTTTTAACTTATCTGGGCGTGCTGTTTTATTCTTTCTGTGATTGCATATCTTGATTTTGTAATTATCAATGCAGACACTCCCAAGGAGCTGACGGAGGAAGAGAAGCTGCAGGTCCTGCACTCTGATGAGTTCTTGTCGTTTTTTGAGCGCGGCAGCAGAATCATGGAGAGAGCGCTGTCTGAGCAGGTGGACGTCTGCTTCGACTACAGTGGGAGAGATCTCGAGGATAAAGAGGGGTGAGGCGTATTGCAAAAAAAAAAAAAGGAAAGAAAAATTTGAATTTAGAATTAGAAATCAAATTATAATCGAATGAACAAACTTTTTCTTGTTGGTCTCAGTGACTTGCAGGCGGGTGCAAAGCTGGTTCTGAACAGGCAGTTTGCAGATGAGCGCTGGACTAAGAACAGAGTGGTCACCTGTTTGGACTGGTCGCCTCAGGTGGGATGAGTTCATGCATGTCCAGTACAGCGCCTGCAGTAGGGATTCAGTCTTTCATTGTACCTATGTGCTGACTCTGAAGTCTCAGATGGTTCTTCACTGCATTTAAACACGACTCGTATGTTTGTCTCTCAGTATCCAGAGTTGCTGGTGGCCTCGTACAACAACAATGAGGACGCTCCACATGAGCCTGATGGCGTGGCGCTGGTCTGGAACATGAAGTACAAAAAGGCTACACCTGAGTACATCTTCCACTGCCAGGTAACAACTACACGACTTTAACTGAAACTCTGAAAGGTTCTCCATGAAAACAAATATTTAAAATTATTTTTTTTATTATTGTCTTGTCTGCAGTCAGAGGTGATGTCGGCTGGGTTTGCAAAGTTTCACCCCAACCTGGTGGTGGGTGGGACGTACTCCGGACAAATAGTCCTGTGGGACAACAGAAGCAACAAGAGAACTCCAGTTCAGAGAACTCTTCTGTCTGCGGCTGCACACACAGTAATGCAATCCACATTTTCCTCTGCAGCTTTATTTCTGACTATTTTTAAATTATTATTATTATTTCGTGTTGTTTAGTGTAGCATTTCTAACTGTGCTTTATCGCGCTCAGCACCCCGTCCACTGTGTGAGCGTGGTCGGAACCCAAAACGCCAACAACCTGATCAGCATTTCCACTGATGGCAAGATGTGCTCCTGGAGCCTGGACATGCTCTCTCAGCCGCAGGTACGCTGCTTCTGTCTGGAAAACTGTTGCGATAGACATCAGCTGTTTGGTTCGATTTTTTTTTTCGTTTTGCCCGCAGGACAGTCTGGAGCTGGTGTTCAAACAGAGCAAAGCCGTGGCTGTAACTTCCATGGCGTTTCCTCTAGGTGACGTGAACAACTTTGTGGTGGGGAGCGAGGACGGCTCTGTGTATACTGCGTGTCGCCATGGAAGGTGAGTGCTGTTGGGAATTATTACAAACTCTGATAACTTAATGACTGTTTTTACAGATTGTTGATGCTGAAGTCTGAATTCCATGTTATTAAGATGTTAATTACAGTTTTGTGGGTGTGTTACAGTAAGGCAGGCATCACTGAGGTGTTTGAAGGCCACCATGGTCCAGTGACCGGGCTGAGCTGTCACAGTGCTGCAGGACCTGTAGATTTCTCTCACCTCTTTATCTCATCTTCTTTTGACTGGACTSTTAAGCTATGGAGCACCAAGGTGAGACACGTACATCCTTTTTTTATATATCAGACCCCACTTGTCTCTTAACTTGAGTTTCATTACTGAATCAGTTTACCTTCTTTTGCTGCTGCAGAGCACCCGACCTTTGTACTCATTTGAGGACAGCTGTGACTACGTCTACGATGCGATGTGGTCTCCAACACATCCCGCTCTGTTTGCATGTGTGGACCTATCTGGACGCCTGGACTTGTGGAACCTCAACAATGATACTGAAGTATGTACACATATACAGTGGTTTGCAAAAGTATTCATACCCCTTGAACTTTTCCATATTTTGTCACATTACAACCACAAACATAAATATATTTCACTGGAATTTAATGTGAAAGACCAACACAAAGTGGTATACAATTGTGAAGTGGAAGCAAAATTTTACATGAATCAAAACATTTTTTACAAATAAAAAACTGAAAAGTGCGACGTGCAAAAGTATTCAGCCCCCTTTTCCCTGAGTGCAACCAATTGCATTCAGAAGTTGCCTGATGACTGCTAATGACTCAAAAGGGTCCACCTGTGTGTAATCTAATCTCAGTACAAATACAGCTGCTCCGTGACGGCCTCAGATGTTGGTTAAGAGAATATTGGGGAGCAAACAGCATCATGAAGTCCAAAGAACACACCAGACAGGTTAGGAATATGGTTTTGGAGAAGTTTAAAGCAGGCTTAGGTTATAAAAAGATTTCCCAAGCTTTGAACATCTCACGGAGCACTGTTCAATCCATCATCCGGAAATGGAAAGAGTATGGCACCACAGTAAACCTGCCAAGACAAGGCCGTCCACCTAAACTTACAGGCCGAACAAGGAGATCACTGATCAGAGAGGCAGCCAAGAGGCCCATGGTGACTCTGGATGAAATGCAGAGAGCCACAGCTCAGGTGGGGGAAACTGTCCACAGGACAACAATTAGTCGTGCACTACACAAATGTGGTCTTTATGGAAGAGTGGCAAGGAGAAAGCCATTGTTAAAAGAAAACCATAAGAAGTCCCGTTTGCAGTTTGCCAGAAGCCATGTTGAGGACACAGCAAACATGTGGAAGAAGGTGCTTTGGTCAGACGAGACCAAAATTGAACTTTTTGGCCACAATGCAAAACGCTATGTGTGGCGGAGAAAGAACACTGCACATCACTCTGAAAACACCATCCCACTGTCAAATATGGTGGTGGCAGCATCATGCTCTGGGGGTGCTTCTCTTCAGCAGGGACCGGGAAGTTGGTCAAAGTTGATGGGAAGATGGATGGAGCCAAATACAGGGCAATCTTGGAAGAAAACCTGTTGGAGTCAGCAAAAGATTTGAGACTGGGGCGGAGGTTCACCTTCCAGCAGGACAACGACCCTAAACATAAAGCCAAAGCTACAATGGAGTGGTTTAAAAAAAAGAATATTCATGTGTTAGAATGGCCCAGTCAAAGTCCAGACCTAAACCCAATTGAGAATTTGTGGCAAGATCTCAAAACTGCTGTTCACAAACGCTCTCCATCCAATCTGACTGAGCTTGAGCTGTTTTGCAAGGAGGAATGGGCAAGAATTGCAGTCACTAGATGTGCAAAGCTGGTGGAGACATACCCTAAAAGACTTGCAGCTGTAATTGCAGCAAAAGGTGGCTCCACAAAGTATTGACTCAGGGGGGCTGAATAATTTGCACATCGCACTTTTCAGTTTTTTATTTGTAAAAAATGTTTTGATTCATGTAAAATTTTGCTTCCACTTCACAATTGTATACCACTTTGTGTTGGTCTTTCACATTAAATTCCAGTGAAATATATTTATGTTTGTGGTTGTAATGTGACAAAATATGGAAAAGTTCAAGGGGTATGAATACTTTTGCAAACCACTGTATGTATAAATGTTTATCCTCCAATACAAGCTAAATTGTATCAGAGTTCCTGTTTCTTTATAAACTCAATGTGCTTTTAAGGTTCCTACTGCCAGCGTGTGTGTGGACGGGTCTCCAGCACTGAACCGTGTCAGATGGTCTCACTCTGGAAAGGAGATCGCCACCGGAGACTCCGAGGGTCAGGTTCAGGTCTATGATGTGGGAGAGGTAAGATGTCAGCCTCCTTAAATGATTGATTCTGTTCATCCCTGCACGTGCTTTTAGATTTAAAAGCAGAACCTTGAGTTTTCTCTGCAACGCTTCGCTTCATCTGCTGTTTGGATCTTCCCGCAGCAAATCTGCGTGCCCAAAGCAGACGAGTGGACACGCTTCGTCAGGACGCTGGCTGAAATCAACGAGAACCGAGACGAAGCCGAGGAGCTGGCCAACGTCTGACACCACAGTTTTTCACGAACAGCTGATAAATTCCTGTCACTACTACACTACACACCTATAGCACATTACACAATTCAGCCGGAGGAGACGCGCCCTCTTCTCCAATCTGGTTTCCACCTTTTCCTTCCAACAGAACTTGGGCCTGAGGAGATGTGCAGAGCTAGAATGAGCTGAAATGGCAGCGTTAGATGAGTTTAAAATGTTTCTTAAGAGATTAGAGTCCACATGTAGTCACATCAGCAGCAGTTTCTGTACAGAAACCAACGTTAGGTAGTTTTAAGATATTAGATGAGTTGGTGCTGGGTGGTATACCAGTTCGTACCGAACACCAGTTTTTATTTTTGTTATGAATTTTCTGAAAACCGGACATACCGGTTTAAATAGCTAGAACACGTTTGGAACGCCACGTTACGTCGCGCCCGTCAGTGAACTGTTTTCACATGGAGACACTTTTCCTCGCAGCACCGCTATGAGCATTAGCAAAGCTAATGTTACTATTGGAGTGGGCTTCTCCATAACTGGCGGCAGGTGGCAATTACACTGCTTAAACTGACTGACATTAAAAAAAACTTCTCCCGTTTTCGCCATCGCTGAATGTAGTCTGCACCTCTTCAGTGACGTGCACGGACAGATTTGATGCGTGACGTTAACGTGCTTCTATTATGAAAAGCCCGGAGGAAGTAGTTGTGTACCGAAAGGCTGAGTCATCCTGTTAAGCTTTATTAAATAACACAAAACAAAAGACCCAATAATGATCTTTGCTCAACCCTCCTCCTTCACAGCTGTACTAAAATGCGTGACTACAACTAGGCAAAGAAGGAAACACATGTAAAGGAGGGAAACAATGACACAGAGGTACAGGAAAAGAAAAAAGTCAAGAAATAATTTCTGTGTTGCAGAAAGAGAGTAACGTCAGCTGACTGGTTTGCTAATCAATAAGCAACGTTTGTACATTTTATTATTAGCTGAGCTGTGATGAAAAGAAAAATACTGTCAAATACCGTGATATTGGTATAATTGTTGAAAATACAACAATTATTGTTGATATAAAATTTGGGTCATACTGCCCAGCACTAAGATGAGTGTATGGACGTGTTCTGCATACATGGAGCTGAACTTCTAGCTTCGATGACATCAGGGCTCCAGGAACTGCTCTTCTCCTGAGGCCGCCCTCTACCAATCGTTTTTTTAACATATGCAAACCTTTGTACTTGCACCTTTTTATTACCATTTAAGTGTTTTTACGTTTTAATATTTTACAGACACTTGCTCATTGCTGGGAAATGCCTGTAACTGAATGGAAAACGCTGACCGTTATATCCTCAGCAGGACTGGATGACAGCTAACATGCTTACATATCCTCACTCTACTACAGAAGAGTGTCAAGCTTACATTTGAATTACTGCTTTATTTATTTATTTTTTTGTTGCACTTATTTAAATATTTTGCATATTGTTTTTAAAATATATATATGCTTTGAACCAAGTACTTGACTAGCACAGTTTGGAAATTGGCACTACAAATTTTAAACGTGAAATAAATTCCTTAGCTTCAGTTTGATACCAATTAATTTTTTTTTCTTGTAACCACACAACGGGCCTCATGCAAGAACCGTTCGTACGAACAGATTTGTTCTTAAGTTGTGCGTACGAGTGATTTAGGAGAATTTGTGGCATTCACCAATTTTGGCGTAAGATTTTTTTCAGATACGAACAAAATTCACGAGTGGTCCAGACTTGTCGTATATTTTACGTACAGTCAGTCTGCTGTTATCCAGATGGGTTTTCTTCACTAATAACTTTATATTTCATTAGTTTGAAGATATTTCGAGTTGAAAATAAATCKCACTCCATKATTATGTTGACAAGAGGTTATTCTGTTTGAACTAGAATTATGTAATGTAATAATGTAGACTAATCAGATAAATTAGTTAAATTAATTTAAATTGGCTATTATTGCTGTTGTATAACACTACAATATTAATATGAACATCAAAGTGCCAGACATCAGTACAGGCCGTGGCTCATCTTCTGAGTAAATGAAAATTATTTAACACAGTTGTTTACACTTGAATTAAAATATTTGACCAAAGTAAAACCGGAGCAGGACTAGAGAGAGATGAAGATGATTTCGATTTTTGTTTCTATGACTGTGTTTGACCAACAGGAGACACAACATTAACAGCAGCCGTCATTTCATTTCTCAGCTTTAGCAGCTCCTTTAATTCCACAGCTGATGCTGCAAAAAATTATAGATTTTCTTTTCTGGATCTCTGAGAGCAGGACTTCAATTTCCGAACTAGTGAAGTTCGGAGAATACGAAAATGTTCTTGCATGAGGCCCACTGTTTCATCCGTGTATTTGTTTGAAAATGAAGAGCAGAAATTGTTCTGACTTGCTCTCTGTAAGAGAAATGTTAAATATATGAAGTTGGAACACTGAGGTTGGAAACATCACAAAACCTGAACCAGTCTGCCCCCGTTCATTCCTCGATGCAACATCCAACCTCACCAAACTTTGTAACACTCCAAAGTAAAAATAAGCTCAAAACTGACTGCAGCAACTAGATTTAATGTCCTGTACGGATCTGTTTTCTGCTTCCAACTGTTCTGTACTTCTGTATGTTCTTAAAACAATTAAAGGTTTCCAATAAAAAAGAAAAATCAAAACATAGTTATAATAAAACCATATGGGTTATTTATTTCATTAAAATACAATGACTAGATTGAGATACACTTAATTTATTTATACCTTATTCTTTGCTCATCATTTTTGTTTCATCAAGAAAACACTTAAATGTAAAGTTCTGTACATCAGTAAGAGTGATTCTCAGCCACCAGGACCAAAGGCCCCAGGTTGCCATAACATTACCTTTGGTGTAATGATGCAGCCTAAATGTTTCGGAGCTTCGTCTTGTAACATTTTCTCAGTACAGCTTTACAATATGTACAGTATGTAGCCTCCTGTTAGAGGAGCTGCCGAGAGGGGAGCCCCCACACACTGTGCAAATCATCAAATATTTTCTATTCCCACTGCCCAATAAGAGAAGTCCTACTCATACTGAGGATCAGACTCCAAAAAAATAAACAAATCAATCATCTATTCATGAGAGACAAAAAGGAGTGCTCAAAGGTTCAATTTTACACAAATGCTCAAGAGAAAAACACACAAAAATGAAGTTCCCAGGAGCACACAGCCACTAAAGATACAACACAGTCAGCGCTCCGTTCCTGTTGCTGTATGCTTTGTGGCAGCTGCCTCTCTACGCCAACAGCTGGCCGGTGACTGCTGGAGCACAGCTTCACTCAGGAGAGAGCAACGCACCGGTGTTCGCTCCTGCGTTTGATAGTCTCTGGCGTGAAGTCGGGTATCAACTCTGTGCTTCGCTTGTGTTTATCTCTGTGTCTGGCCCCTGGTGGTGGAGAAGTGATGTCAAGATGTTGATGTTTTTATGGTGTCTGGGCTGGCTTGGCGGAGGCCGACTCCAAGTGATGAATGGAGACCACGCCGGAGGACTTGAACTTCGGAAGGTGGAGACCAAACTTGTTCTCCACCCCGGCAAAAGTGGCCGCAGCCAGGCGGTAGCCCCCGACGTGGTCCGCGTTGATGGGAGGAAGCTCAGAAATGCGAGACTTGGGTGTCGGTTCAGAACCCGCTGGACGACTGCAGAAAGCAGAGGACCGGAGTTACTATTTACTCTAGAACACGTTCTAAAGATGGACTGCTCAACTATTAAAAACATTTACAACTAAGCTTTATAAACCATCCACACTACAATACTAGAAATTTAGATTATAGAGTCAAAAATGAATAATTTTGCTGTGGATGCTCCCCAACACTTTTTAGCAAAATTGTTAGTTTCTAAAGAGTAAAAAATTAGCATGGATTATCGGAAAAATAATAATGATAATAATAAAAAT